TCCTTCCCTGCCCCAGGGCCGTGGGTCTATAAACAACAGCCCCTGTCAAGCTTCACTGGAGCCCTGGGGTCCTGCTTTCAGGAAGTTACATAAACATCCTTCAGAGAAACAAAAGTCAAACCTAAAGATGACTTTTTTTAAGGCTTTCAAGAAGCCCTTTTTATAGTCAACTTCCCCCATCATCCTTCTATTGTTCCAAATATCCTTTCAGAACCTAGAAAATACACTTGGTTTCCGCCTGGGGCGTGGGCTTCCTGGTGTTCTTCCTCTCAGAAGTCGCCCCACCCCCCCCTTGGCAGCGCTCTCCCCCCAGAACACACCCACCTCTGACCCCAACATTGCTCTGGGCCCCCCTGAGGGCTGTGGCTGCCCAAAGATGGGCGTGGGGGCAGGGGCAGTTTTATGAAACAAACCCTTCCCTGGTCAGAACACAGATAGCTCTGGTTGGGGTCCCAATCTTGACTGCATGGCCCTGTGCGGGTGAGTCCGGCTCCCCTCTGGGTCTCGGTTTTCCACTGAGAAATGAAGGGTCCCCACACTGTCGGGAAAGCCCCTGGGCTCCTGAGCAGTACACTGGAGATACTGAGGCAGGGAAGAACAGCAGATGGACAGCAGGTTCTGACCTTGACCTCTCCCCACCCCTCCGGTTAAACCAGAAGAGGCCCACTTTCCTCTCTCTGATTTCATTTCCTGTCCTAGCTGTGGGACCTTGAACTCAGCACTCAGTCTCTTCCCCTCAAATGGCCAATCCATGAGACAGGAGACGGCAGTGGCGGCTTGAGCCCTAACCACCCTCCCAAAGTCTGATTCACTCATTTCATACACTTTCGCTTCTTTAAAAAACCAGTCTAAGTTGTGTCTGTTACACAAACACTCCAAGACAATCCCCCACTGCCTTCCTTCCAATGACATCGTGCTTCTAAGCACCCCTATAAAATTCCTAGATCTACCTACCACCTTATGGCTACATGGCCTCGGTATTTTCATCTATAAAATGGGGACAATAATAGTACCTGTCTTAAGAGAATTATTCTGGGAATCTCTCCAGATAAGATCACCTGGAAGTGCTTATAGCAAGCATGGATAAGCTCTCAGTAAATATGAACAACAATTATGTGATCATCAAAATTATCGAGATGCTTAAAACCACTGGATTGCTAATAGCTAAGACCCCTCACCCCTCTCAGACCACATCTGGCCACTGCACTCACACCCCCTTCTCTGGAATAGGACCTATATTCTCTTCCTGGCCACAGCCCCAGAACACAGCCCAGTTCCTGGCACCAATCTTTGCCACCCACAAAACTCCCCAAACCTTCAAGTGCCCCCAGTCCTGCCTTCCTCAAGTGGCCTGAGCACTGCCTCCTATAATCATGCTGGGGTTCTGTTGAACCCCATCATTACATCACAGGACTGTTTCCTGGGGACAGGAAGCTGTTAGAAGATGGTGGCTCCTTGAAGACAAGATAGAAAGAAACTGGGCTTTCTTCTGGGTCCCCCATATTTGCTGGTGTCTGAAAATGCTGAAAGTCCAAGAGGGGAAGCATCATTTTTTAAAATTACTTAGTCACGTGTTTCTTTAACTTTAGCATACATTGGAATCACCTGGAAGGCTTCTTCAGACTGCTACTTCCCACTTCTCCCCAACCCTGGGTTTCTGACACAGTAGATCTTGGGTGGGGCTAGATAATTTGCATTTCTAACAAGTTTCCAGATAATGCCTGTGCTACTGGTAGAGAGACCAGCTGTGAGAACCACTACCTTAAGTGCCAGGTGAATCAGGAAGAGCTTCCGTGAACAGGTAATGCTAACACTCCTCTAAAAGCAGAAACAGGAGCCAGGTATAAACATTCCTGGAGAAAGGGAATCTAGGCAGAGGTGCAGCAGGAGTGAAGGCCCTGCGATGACAACATTCATTTCCTCTCACCTGGCCTCTGCCTGGACAGGTAGCATAAACTCGAGGTGGCCGCTGCTGCACAATGACTACAGCAAGCCCTCGCCGACTGCCACCCTGGACCTGCCCAGACAGGCCAATCTTTAGCCGGCCTGGGGGTGATGAGAATCCACGTGACGTCAGGTCTAGACGAGGCCACCACGTGAGCACCAGGATCCTGTCCCACACCTCCAGACACAGCCCCTTCCATCCTGGCTTGCTCTGATTGGGTGTCCACATTTCTGCTGCCTCATGGAACAAGTCGGTTTCATGTGGCCAGAGTAGGGCCTCAGAAACCAGTAGACCCTGTGGGTAATCCCCTGAGTCTGACCTCCCTGGGCTGAGACGCCATCTCCTGGGCCTTAGCTGCTATATCTGCTAAAAGGGTGTTAATAGTGTCTACTTCCTACTGTTGTCGGGAGGACTAAATGAGTTCCTCGGTCCAGTAACATTATCAGCTACAAAAACTACCATAACTAACATGGACTGACCTTATAGTTAAACACCTCCCCTTTTATCCATCCCCATTATCAAATGCTGTGAGATGGGGACAATTATTACCCCCTTTGTACAGATGAAGAAAATAAACAACTTACCCAAGGTCCCACAAGCAGGAAGTGACCCAGAGGGATCTGAACCCAGACCTTCTGGCTCCAGAGCCTAGCTCCCAACCTCTGCTCTGTGTCCTAGTCACCTGCCCCAAGACCTAGCCCAGGTCCCCTCAGCCTGCCATCATCCTCTCCAGCCTCCCAGACACAGGGAGGCTGGGCAGGCTGCCCCTGGAGACTCTGGCACATAGTGTACAATCTGGAGTATGGGTCCCTGGCCTTGAGGGCGGCCAAAGGGCTGCCAGCCAGACCAACGTATCTGGCATAAGTTTCAGATACTGCTCAGCATGGGCACCAGGGAGGAAGCTGGGTCTGCAGAACCTGAACACCTTAACCTTGATGAAAGGAGAGAAGAAAAACAGGTGTAACAAGGAGAGGAAATCCTGTCAGGTTTCCTGGATGAGACTGCAAGCTTCCATACCACCGGCAAATTTGCCCTATCTCTCTGGGCCTCAGTCCTCATCTGAACAAGCCTTCCAGGCCATTAGACAGAAAGTTCAGAAATTCAAATTCTGGGAATTCTTCCCTCCACCTCTGAAAGGACTGATCACCTCCCAGGTATAAATAATGGTAAAAGCCATTGTTATCTTTGAAGAACTCCCACTTACTGGGCTTTTACTATGGGTCAGACACTGATTTGCTCAACTTCCCTAACAAGACTATCACTATCTTCATTTTGTGGGAAATTGGGGCCCAGAGAAATTTATGTTAATTTGCTCTACATCCCACTGCTAATGGTGGCAGAACTGGGATTGGAACTTTTGACTCTACTTGGCAACGCTGCTCCCTGCCACCACTAGTGCAGAAATGGGCCACAGTGCAGCCCCTGCCTCCACAGCACAGAGCCTAGAGGAGATGAGACGCATCTTTAAGGAACCAGAAGTCAAGGGCAGGTGTGTAAGGGTACCCGAAAGGGCGCCGGATAACAGGCCGTGCACATGTAAAACAGGGAGCTGGTGAGGCCAGCTCTGCAGACTCAGAAATGACTACATGGAGGAGGTAGCACTGGCAGGGAGGACCTGTGGGGGGTGGGTAAGGGCAAGTGACTGAGGTGCAGCATCCTCGCTATGAGCAAAGATGTAGAGGCAGCAAGAGACGGAGCACACACAGGGAGGGAAAAGAGACAGATTCTGCTTGATGGTTGAGGGGGAATGACAGATGGGGGCACTGGGGTGACATAGCGGGCCACATCCACACCTTGCCTTCAAATAAATAACTGCTCATTTGCAATGCACATTTTAGAATTAGATCGATCTAGTATGTATCAACAGGTAAGAATCAAAAGGCCAGGAGGCATCTTACCAAACTCTTGGTTCTAGCTCTGAGGCCACACGGTCCAAGCCATCCACGTCCACCTCTTCCACCAAGCTCTAAACCTCCAAGCTCATACTGAAGGGCAGATATAACAGCCCCACAGGCAAGAGAGAGCCCCCCACCCGAGACCATGAGATGCTGCTGTAACTTCTCCTGTGGGGAGGGAGAGGGACAGCCCTGCCCCCCCGCTCCCCCCTCCCCGCTCCTCACTTCGGTGCTCTGCAGCCCTTTCCCTAGCCCCTACGGATTCCCTCTGACCCATGGTTCCGCCATATCTCCTCATTTCTGAGGCAAGAGAACCGGAACCCATTTCACAGACTAGAAGTGGAAGCAGAAGGTTCTAGGCTCTGGAACCACAACAGCAGCTCAGGCTCTGGCTCCTGATCCAGACATCCCCACGGGTCCCTGAAGGTCAGCCGGGCTGAGTGTCTTCCACAGGGTAAGGATTCTCCCGGGTGGTACACCACAGGCAGGGCACACAGGGGGAACTTCCCAAGGAGCACAGGAAGGGGCAGCTGTGAAAAGCTATGAGAAAAACAGCAGATGGCAATGGACCAGGCACCACCCTAAATGCTCAGATTCTAGGGTGAAAGGGGACTGAAAGAGGTCACCCAGGCCTGACCCTCCTGGTATATGCCTCTGCACCCTCTCCAACACTCCAACCTCTTTGCATATCTTTAGTGATGGGGACCTCACCTCCTCTACAGGTAGCTTGTTCCCGTTAGCTCTCCTGTCACCCACAGTACTGGCTCTGCCCTTGGGAGCCAGAGTACAAGACTATGCCCTGTACCCACAGAGTCCTGCAGGGACTTGAACACCATGACACTGCCACTTCCCCAAACCTCAGACCAACTGTGATGATCCCCAGCCCCAACGCGACTACAAAGTCCTGCAGCCTCCCATCCTCCCCTCTTAGTCCCAGGCCTCAATCAGACTTTGGTCAGCTACCAGCTGGACTATGATTAGCATGTCTCTGAGCTGGTAACCCTGCCAGTCTTTCACCATCTTTGACCCCTGAGAGGGCAGCACAACAGGGCAGAAACCATTTGGCCTGCATTCAAATATAGCTAAGTGCCTTAATCCCTCGAGCCTCCACTTCCCCATCTGAAAATGGGCTGGAGTGGGGGTTAGCAACAGCCACTTCACAGGGGTATATGAAATTTCAAGAGGATGCATGTAAGGAGCCTGGCACAACACACAACAGGTATCAACTCAACGAGCTGCTTACAACTCTGTCCTCTCCACTACAGCACGAATCCAAGCTCCTGAGCAGGATCCTGCAATCTTCCCTGTGGTCCGATCTTGTCTCCCACTGCCCCCCTTCCCAGAGCCTGCATCCTCACAAACACTTCCTCCTCCAGGAAGCCCTGACGACACTGACAACCAGAACAGCTTTTCCCCTCCACTGACTTTCCAAAGCCCATCTATCACTGATCACACCCTGCCTCTTCGCTACCACTCAATCCTCATCTTCCCTCTCCCAACAGATTGGCAGCCTCTCAGTCAGAAACCAGCAGCACCTCACCTCATCCCCACCACCTCATCCACAGACAGTTTCCATACATGTTTAATAAATTACCCTAACATTCCATTTTAAGTAAAGAATGTCCCAAGCCCTCCAAACAGTCCAGATTTCAAGCCATACCCAAAACCAAATTCCAAGGCAACAGAAGTCTCTAGGGACTTGTAGGCCTGGCTTTGGTCCCAAAGTAGGGAAGATGGATCAAGCACGTCCCAAGCCCAGGGCAGAGACAACTCTGGGCTGCGGAGGCCAAAGCCCTAAGTTTCTCAGATACAGAGTTTCTCAGTTGGCCCCCAGACCAACCCCCAGCCTGATACCATATTTCTGACCACATTCTCAACTTGTAATTATAAAACTGTTCCTTGTATACCCTTTGTGACAGGAGGATCACTATCCATCTTTTTTGCTTCTTGGCTTCCTCCCTTCACCTGTTGATTCTCCCAGAGTCCTCTCCTCCTGCTCTGACAGGTATGGCAAGGAGAATCCAACCATATGCCAAGCGTCATCCCCAACCCTCAGTACTCTTTTCAGCCTCCCAGCCCTCCACTCATTCCCCTGCATGTCTGAGACCCCTCAAAGTCCAGCTAATAGTGGAATTTCCATTCTTGTTCCTACAAGCTGACAGTGAACTGTCAGCCCAGAAGGGTACCCTATCCCCAGCAAAAGCCTACAGGCCCTGCAAATCCCAGATTCAGTGCTGGAACAGCCATTAGAGCACTTAGAACAGTGACACACAAACTTTCATGTCCCCAAAATTTATTTCATTACCTACTCCTACTCCATTGTTTAAAAATGTCATTTATTAACTACCAATTGGTTTCCATTTTTAAGCAGATTCCTCAAGGCGCCCAATCAGAGCCTGATCAGCAGTCATGAGATGGCACCCACACCAAAAGATGGGCCAGCACACTAAAGCCAATGGAAGTCTGGGCCACCCCACACATTCACTCATGTGGTATTTATGAGGGTTTATGGTGTGCTCTAGGCTCAGAAACATACAAATGCACATACAAATGCATTTTCAATTAAGATTTTGCAATGCTGACGGCTCAAAGTCCACCCCCACTCCCCCATTACTATCCTCAAAGACTTGAGGCTGGGGGACCTAGAGCAGCCCATCAGTTTAGCAATGAGGACCCTGGCAGGAGGATCACTATCCATCCTTTTTGCTTGCTGGCTTCTTCCAGCCGGACACCTGGGATATAAATCCTGCGGCCTTATGTCTCTCATGGCCCCAGGGGCTCCCATTCTTGGCCCTACGTCGGCACCCTGCTGATCTGAAAGTGACCTGGTCTGAATAGAGATGAAAGGCTCTGCCGTCCCCTGGGTGCTGGGGAGGGGCCTGTTGACAAAGCCACCAGCTGTCCCCAGTAGGAGCCAGGGAGACGGGCTCCTCCCTGCACCACCCGCAGTGGGAGAACGTTCCTGCCACAGACCCAGCCAGCAACAGAACTTTAACCATCATGGAGCTCCAAGCTCAGGCTCCAATGGACTTTCCCTCTGCTCCAGCTGCCCACAGTACAAGAGCTCAGCCTGCACCAGTACCAGGCAGAACAAGCATCACTCGGGGGTAAGGGTAATGGGGAGAGGGGGCAGGTGTCCTCATAACTGCAACTGAAAATGACACCAAGAACTCAGTCACAACAGGACTTCTTAGAGCCCTGTAGCTGAGACTAAGGCAGGAGGGGAGTCAAATCCAAGCTCCACCTACTTCCCACCTGTCTGATTTTTAACATTCCGTGCCTCAGTTTCCCCCTCAGTAAAATGTGGTTAACAATAACCTGAGAGAATTACATGAAATAATGTATGTAAAGCAATTAGCCCAATGCCTAGCACACATAGTAAACATGCATTAAATACTTGTTGAATGTAAACATGCCATCATTTACTGAGGCACCACAAGTTCTCATTTCATCCTTGAGCCGGAAGATACTGTATTTTTCCCATTTTACAGGTGAGAAAACAGACTAGAAGGTAAGGATCTGGCCCACGGTTACAGAGCTGATAAGCGGCAGACACCCAGGTCAGTGTGAACCTCAGACCAAGAGGCAATGCTGCCCTGGGCCGTTCTGAATGCTTGGGGTGGGGGCCGGGAGCGGGGCCAGTTCTGTTATCCCCTGGGCCTGGCACAGCTCCTGGCTGGGCCGGTGCTCAATCTTGGGAAGGGGCTAGGAGGCCGGTGCCCCAGATTCCCAGCCTGTCCCATAGCCCATGCGTCCCCGAGCTCCCCTTCTTCCTCGTCCCAGAGTGTTAAAGAGGGGCGTTCAAAGCAGGGGCTTGAGGCTCCCAGAAACCTGAGGGAGGAAGGGGGTTGAGACCAGGCCGCTCACAGCACGGCGAAAACCGGTCCGGCCGCCTTACGCTTCCCGAAGCGGGGGCCCAGACTCTAACCCCCTCCTTCGCTAGACAAAAGTTTCCCCTGTTCGGGAGCAGGGGGGGAGGGGGCATTCCTCGTGAGTGACATTATCCGTGACCTAGAGCTGCCGCTCTGCCCTCGCCGCACCCTGGCCTGCCCCCGGCCCCGGTGCGGTCCCGCACCCCTTTGTCTTCCCATCCCTCGCGCGGGGCCCGGCAGGCTCTACTCGCCCGCCCGGCGCCCGCCCGCACTAAACTTGCGCGAGCGGCCTTTTGGGCCCCGCGCGGCCTGCACGCCGAGCTCGGGCCCCGCCGGCTCGGTGACAGAGGACTGACCGGTCGGCCCTCCCGGCCTCTTAGCTAACACGGCTGGAGTGCTACCGAGGAATGGGGCGCTCCCGGGGAGCCGCCGGACGCCTGGGCCCCCGGCGGGGTGTGCGCCTCCGGGCGCCGGCTCCGGCCAGGGCTAACCCCTTCCCGGCCGCCTCCCGCCGCTCCCACACCTCCGCTCCACGCCGCAGCCACCGCCGCCCCTCTCCCCGCCTCCCGCTCGCTCTCGTCCCCCATCCCCCTCGCTCCCCGCGCCCAGCCCCCAGTCCCGGCCTGGGCACTGCGCTGGGGCAGCTCGAAGCCTGTCCCCTCATCCTGCGGCGGGGACGTAAGCAGACTCTCCCAGAAACTGGAAGTTGGGGCGCAATACCTCGGGCCCCGCGAGGCGGCGGAGCGCAGAGGAGCGACCCCGCGCGCTGAGGGCCCCCTCCCGTCTCCCCTAAGACCCTCCGGCCCCTGCGCCTACCTCCCCGAGTCGCGGCCGTGGGAGCGGGGTTCGATCCTGTGATGGGGCGTGGGTGCCGACCGGAGATCGGCTCCCGGGGCCCGTGCAGCCGGCCAGCGTGCGGCGAGCGCCCCGGGGCGGAGGCCGGGGCGGGCCCAGGCGCTGCTATCGGGGCTGGATTTCTCGGCTTCCACCCGGATTCTCCCTCGGCTCTCCCGGCCGATTCGGTGCTGCTCGGCGACCACGTGACGCGGATTGCCTTTGACCCCTGTCTCCACGCGGGTAGGGGGCGGGGGCCGGGGGGTGGGCGCTGTCAGACGCAGGACCCACGAGGGCCCGGGGAGGCTGCCGGGCGTCCCAGAGGCGGTGACCGCGGGGAAACAAAGCCCGGGGGAAGCCAACAAGTTATTCGGGGTCAATGAGGGAACAGCGCTGGGGGTAGGAGAGGCTGCAGAGAAAACGAGGAGACAAAGACCCGCGCCCTCCGCGCCTCCAGGGGCCCTGGGCGGCCCGAGGGGCCCTGCCGGCTCCGCCGCCGCTGGGTTTATGACCACCCAACAGGGCCTCTTCCGTAGGCTCCCCAACAACCAGGTCTCTAGTGGAGTGACCCCCTCCTAAGCAGGCATTCCTGTCCCCCACTCCCCACCAGTTCCTTTGCCCTAACTCTCCAAAACCCCATTATTTCCTTTTTGTAATTATCTGGTTCATTTACTGGCTTCATTGTTTCCTAGAATGTCATCTCCCCCAAGTTGTTCCCAGCTGAATCCCCAGGGCCTGAACACAAAACAGGAAGATGAAGAGGTGGATGACCTTGTGCAAATCTCTTCTCCCGCTGAGCCGCAGTTGACCAACCCCAGTGTTAGTTATTTCAACCATCTCAACAACCTTGCAAGTTAGGCAAGATTATAGTAGTCACCCTCATTAAACAGATGGGGACAACCAGGCCCAGACAGATGAGCTGATTTCTGTGAGTCTAATAGGTAGCTGAGGGCCAGAACCTACACTCAGGTCTGACTGCTCCATGTGGGAGCGTATTGCCATCCATGAGCCATCCTGTAAAATGAGGGATGGAGGTGAGGTGTGATAGTGAGCCTTAAGGAGCTTGCCAGATTGCAGGGCCCCTCCCCTGAATTCAGCTCTGTGGGCCCTGGGAGAGGCTGGGCAAATTTGGAAAGCAGTAGGTTGGTGATTTCCTAAGTATCTTCAGAAGTTCAAGGTTATCTACTTACTGTAGAAACAAAGCTCAAAAAAAGTGGGCAATCAGAGCAGAACCAAGGGAGGTAGAGAAGCCAAGTTTGACGTATAAGAATAGGATAAATTCATTAAGATTCCCCTAAAGGGTAACCTCTCACTGGGCGGAAAGAGGTTTCAACCAGCCTGCTCATGGCTCAGAGGGAGAAAGATGCTGAGGCCTGCACAAGGAGAAATGCTGGGAGATGGGACAAGGCTCCTAACTCCCAGATATGCCCAGGTGACAACTTTGGATGGTGTGTAGTCAGACAGAACTGAGCCTAATGGTGTTAGCCATCGGCCCAAACTGCAGACCATGTTCAAAGATAGGCTTGTGACTTCCTAGTGCATACTCCAGCCATGCCACTAGTTTGCATCCACCAGAAAATTCCTCTTTATAATATATGTTCCTGTGGTCAATGATCTGAAGTCCTTGAACATCGTCTGGGTCTTGGGCAGGCAAAATAAACCCCTAGAATCTTACTCAAGTTAATCTCTGCTTTAGAAGACCATTTCCAACCACATGAGGTCCTGTGAACATCTCTGTGCCAGGTGTTGTGCTCCTGTTACAGACAATGCAGGGTTGGAAGAGACATGGGTCTATACTCTCAAGAAGTGTCCACGCATGCTTAGAGATGATCTACATGTCGCTCCCTATGTCCAGAGGCTGGCTGAGCTGAGGGCCTGCTGGGGAGGCCCAAGGCATGCACTATGGCTCACAGTGAGAGGGGAGATGAATAAGAGAGCCTTTGAGAGAGGCAGCCTCTGAGCAGGATCTGGAGGAATGGGTGAGATTGGGAGAGGAGAGGGACATTCTCAGCACAAAGAACACCCAGCACAAAGACCACATGGAAAGCACTCAGGAAAAGCCGAGGGTTGCATGGCTGGGAGACAGGGGCCAGAGGGCAAACGGTGGAGGAAGCAGGAAGAAAAGAACAAGCAAGAAAACTGGAGAGGTGGGTCAGGAGCAGCTTATGGATGACCTTGCATAAGGGCTCCATGGATTGGACATTATTCTGAGGGCCTGGTGGAATGAGAAGGCTGTAAGCAAGTGAAGGAGGTGATAAGGGCTCTGCTGTGGGAGGGGCAAAGGAAGGGAGGTCAGTCAGGCCATGCAACCGTCTTACTGCCCAAGCTGAGTGAGAGCTAGCATCTCACCACCAATGGAGCAGCAGATTCAAAGCATTTTGGGGGGCAACTGTGAGCTGTGCTCCTGATCACTGATAGCTTTTCCTACTCATTTCAAGTCTTCAGAGTTGCTATTCACCAAACTAGGCCCAAAGCTTCCCAGCTCACTGTCACTCAGAAAGCTTGTAAGGACGCAAGGCCCAGACCCACCACCCCAGGAACTGACCTCCATGGGTCTAGGTGACACTGTGCACTTTCATTTCTAATTACACCCAGGGAGGTTCTGAGGAAGACGATGCCCTGCACCTCCATCTCCACAGGACCCACCCACATCTCCAGGGGGTTGGGGACCTTCTCTGTGCTGACAACTCCTCCTGCTGTGATCCCCTTCTCAGCCCTGTGTGGCCTTACCACTGCCCACTCAATGGGTCCTTTGGCTGAACCAAGGTCACCTTTATCTACCTCCACAAGTCAAAGCCTAAACTCATTATCTTCCATCCAAGCCCACTGCTCTCCCTCCTCCTAGTGCCCAGTTCACATATCCAGTTCAGAAATCTGACAGCAGCCCCTTGTCCCCACATCCCATCCACAAGGCAGTCCCATTGGTTCTGCCTCCATTTTTCCCTCTAACCCAGCACCATTTCTTCTTCTTTATCACTGCTACCCTAGTCCAAGCCACTGTCTTGTCTCTGCAATGGCCCTTGCTTACAGCCTGTTAATTGCTCTCCCTCCCTCCCACTTTGCCCCATCTAATGCAACCTCCTTGTGCCCATTTCTGACTTAAAACCACCAATGGCTTCCCATTGCTCTCAGGATGAAGACCCTGCCTTGTCCAGCCCCATCTCTTGTCCTAAATGGCGTGCCCTATCTTCCCCTTTATCTAACAAATTCCTCATTGAGAGTGTGGACTTGAGGCAGACTGCCCAGGTTTGAATGCTGGCTCTACCACTTACAAGCTGTGTGAACTTAGGTCAGTTTTTCAACTTTTCTGTGCTCAGTTTTCTCATCTCTAAAGTGGGGATAGTAATAGTATGCACTTCACAGGGTTGTTGTGAGAATTAAGTGAGTTAAATATTTGAAGTCCACGATGCAGTGTCTGTCACATGCTAAGCACTATGTAAGTGCTAGCTAAGTGATTAATTGTGATCCTTTAGGTCTCAGGGTCAATTTAATTTCCTCCTGGGGCTTCCCTATGCCCCTAATCCAGACCCAGCTTCCTGGTCGACAAGTCACATCCTCATCTTCAACATATAGATTCTGGCCAGCTGCCTGTCTCTCCCTCTGGAGTATAAGCTCTGTGAGGGCATGTCCTCATTCATCTCAGACACTGCTATGCCCCAGTGCCCCACACACTGCCAGGCACAGGGTAGGCAACCAGCCCATATTTGCTGACTAAACAGATGAAATGAAAGTCAGCTGATTCATCTCCAAACAGAAAATTTCTCCACTTACAAAATGCTCATTAATGGTACTTCATTCACTATTCATTTGACATTATGAGTACCCCTCCCAATAGTCTTCCTCGTACTGCCGGTGGAGGAGGGCAAGTAAAGGAACATAGAGATGAACAAGACAGATGTGGCCCCTATTCTGGAGGAACGAATAGTCTCCTACAGAGACAGACATGTAAATGCATCAGAAGATACAGGGTCATGTAACCACGTTGTTGGCCCTGACCTGCAATGCTTTTGGTCCCAGGATGTCTTTGGAATAATGAAAATGAAAAGGAACAGATACTGTTGCAGACTTCAGCTGACACCTGCAGGTCCTAGCCCAGGTGTCTTTAGAGCAGAAAAGGTAGGTTCTGTCCCAAGTACATTCAATTCATCCCCTCTTTCTCTACCTGGAGACTGCCTGTTCAACCTTCAAGGCCCCATGTAAGCAGCACCTCCTCCAGGAAGTCTTCCTGTTTCCACCAGGACTCTGTATATACTCCAGTCATGGCTCTAGTGATTTTCTGGAACTATAGTGGGACTTCTCAAGGACAACCCAAATTTCATGTCATTAGCTTCTTTAAAAAAATAAAAGGAGATTCAAAAAATGTGTAACTACATGTGATTTCATGTTTAGACTTCAGTGGAGGCAGAAAATATCCTCTGTCAGCCCATGTGACCTGATCTGTGGTTTGGAGAACATAGTCATCATAATTACAGCACTGACCACATGGTATAACAGTTTCCTCTCCCTTCCTCCTTCTCCCTCTCTCTGTTACACACACACACAGTGAGTTCTTCAAGGACAGGGACTATGTGCTTCCTGGTAGTCCTTGATATCTGTTAAGCAAATGAAGGAGAAAAATCTGTGAAATGGGAAGGTTATCCATGCTTCAGATGGAAAATGGATATAAAATATTCAGAAAACCAAAGACTCTGTGAGATGGGGGTTAATTAACGGCAATTAATTACTTACTCTGGTGCATACCACCTGCTTTCCGTTTGTTACTCAGCAACCCAGAGATCATGAGGCTCAGATAGGTGAGGCCACTTCCTGAAGGTCACCAGACAGGAGTGGCAAAGGAGTTTCAAATCCAGGCCCACCTAACTAAAAGACTGAGTTCTAGTCACTAGTTATCCCACCTTCCAGATACCCAGGGGCCAAGAGCACCCCCCAAAACTGTCCAAGACCACCTGGGTTCTCTCTGCCTCTCCCCTTGCCTCTGGGGGCTCCCTTCCCACCACTCCCTATTGTGTTCCTACTCTGACCCATGCTGCTACTGCTTGAAAAGCACTTGCAGGGGGTTTCCAAAGCAGTCCCATCTCTGGGGCCAGGTTTCCTATTTCAGAAGAACCTAAGGCCATGCGTCATGCCTTCCCCAGACCACCCCTTACCCCCAGGATCTGCCACTGTGCCCAAGACTCAACTAGCCTAGGCCCCTTCATGTGCAGTGTGTTTCCTGTTTTTATAAAGCACTTTCCCATTCTGTAAACCAATTCTCAGGGATCCCACAGCAGTCCTGAGAGGCAGACACTGTGGAAACTTTTCACCCCCATCATACAGATGAGAATAAGGTTTGGCAAAAAGCTGAGCTGTGTCTAAATCTGATTTCAGACCACCTTTCCACAGTCTTCCAAGTCCCTGGAGGGTTCAACTTGACCAAGAAAACAGAGAGAAAGGGTGAAAGATATTCAGGATCTTCACACAGAGAAGATAACGGCTTCTGAAAACAAATATAAATCAATTAATTTCCCTTTTTACTGTGTTCCTGGTGATGCACCAATTACAATCGAGCAAAAGAAAAACACTTACACGCAACTGTGGCCTCTAAACGACATTACTGCTATGGGCTCCAAGTGGCCTGGCCCTGGCCCAGCTGAGGCCAGGCAGGCAGAGTGGAAGGCTCAGCTGCAAGCAGAGCAGCAAGTGCCCTGGACAGTGGTAAGGCTCTTCCTTCCCAAACCCCTCGACTGTGGCCAGGGCTCTGCTCTGGCCTTGCTTGCACCCCCAGGCCATTTCACCCACTCCTCCACTATCCCATCTCCTCATTCTTCAGTTTTTTTCAAGTGTTCACCTGGAGCTAAATATTTTTAACATCACTCAAGTCAAAAGATTACATTAATCATGGAGAATATAGTCAATGATTCTGTAACATCTTCCTATGTTGACAGATAGTAACCACACCAGTGGGGGTGACGATTTAATAATATGGGTAACTGTAAAACCACTGTGTTGTATATTTGAAACCAATATAAGATTGAATGTCAACAGTACTTCAATTAAAAAAAAGGATGAAAAGATTACATTAATCAAAAAAGGGGGCAGGCATTTCTCCAAAAGATTCCCATTGATTATTCTAGTTCATTCTCACTGCTCGCATGGGGTGGGGGTAGGCATTACAACTCCCATGTCTAGTTAAAGAGGCTGAGGCCCAGGGTCCCTTGCACCCCTCCCTCCCAAATGAAGCAGGGAGGGATGACCCAAGTCACCTGGGCTGGGGGTGGCTCCATTCTCCCGAGCCCCCACCACTCCATACACACACCCAGCCCACTTTGTTCACTTGCATCATTCCTGGGCCCCCTTGGTATCATAGTTTATGATTCCTGAACTAATTCAATCTGCTTCCTTACAGAAATGGAGAAACTGAGTCCCAGGGAGGAGCAGGGCTTACCCTATCAGCAGTGATGGACATCAGGGCAGAGCAAGAACAACCTGGGGAGGCGCCTGCCTGTCAGCTGTCCCCCTTGCCCCACTGGGTGTGCATGAAAAGCTGAGAAAGCTCAGAAAAGCACAGGTATGCAAGGACTCCCAGGGTCAGTCCAGATACCATTACTGGGCCCTTGGAGATGTGTCAGTATGGGGAGGAGTCAGTGTTGACTCTGGTGGGCCTGTGGCTCTGGGACTGGCATAGTGGCCAGACTCTTGTCTGGGGCTATCTGCTCTGACAGGCACGGACATTCTTATCATTCCTCATTTGGCCTGCTCCTCACACCCCCCTGTCAGAGTCAGTTCTGTCCTGAGATGGAGTGGGGCTGAGGGAGGGAAGAGTGGAGAACACGGCAGGGATACGCTCCCACATGCAGCGCAGCACACAGTCCCACTCATGCCCCCAGACTGCACCCACGCAGGCCCCAGCCACCTCCTTTCTCCCCCAGCCTGCCCTCCATCCAGTGCATAAGAGCTTTGGAGCCAGACTGTCCGATGATGGAGTCCAAAGCCAGCCTCCACTTACTGTCACTTAACTCAGCTTCAATTGTTTATTCATAGACTGCGGATAATAGCACTTACCTTATAGGGTTATTGAGAAGATTAAATGAGATATTAGGAAGCCACTTAGTACCATGCCCTGCCTATAGTAGCAATCGTTACTGTTACTTTATCCAGCACTCCTCTATAGTTGCCACCTCTTCTGTACCCACGGCCCCTCCCAGAGGCCAACTCACAGGCTTTCCTCAGGCAGCTCACCCATCCGCACAGCCTACCACACACACTCTGACCCCTCTACTCCAGGCAGCCTAGGAGTCCTAAGGCCCAGGCACAGCCATGTGTCCCCACCTTCCCTTCTGCCCAAAATGCTCTCACCACCACTTCTTCGCAACCCCCAACTCACTCCTTCCTTCATGCCCCAACTCCAGGCCCACCTCTTCCAGGAAGACTTCCCTGGAGACCTCTGGCCCACCTCCTCTGAGCTGCTGAGGCTCTCTGAGTGGGTCATGGCCACTCAGCACTGCTGTGGGATTCCTGACCGTCCGTGACACAGCCTCTTCCTTCTTCCTCCCCAGAGTCTCTTCAAATTGAAAAAAGCACTTATAAGGCTTTTGGGGCACCCTGAATCAACCTCCTTGTTCCTGTGCTACCCGACTCCCTGTGCCTGTAGTGACCCATCACTCACCTTCCTGGAGATGGGAACAGGGTAAGTCCTGCAGACCATGAAGTGTGGGCCAGTTACCCAGATGGACAGACAGAATCATCTGTAAGTTGGGAGAGGCAGGAAGAACCCTCACTCCATTTTGCGGTGTTCCAGGAATAGTTCTGTTGAGGGATGAGGAAGCAGAGAGGATGGGTCATCTGGAGCTGAGGGTCCCTGCTGGGGGTGGGGGCGGAGAGCTCCTGAAGCCCATCTGTAGGAGCAGATGTTGAGGTAGGGCCTAAAGCCTGTAGGACAGCAGCCTGGAAGTAGGAGGATCAGGACCCAAACTCCTGACTTTCGTACTACAACCTATGGCAAGGGGAGGAGGATGCAGACTTGTTCTGAAAAGCCCTGGAAGGTGCTTTGGGACCCAACTGTGAGAGCGGAAGATGCTGTGCGTAGCATATCCCATTCAACCTGGGGAAACTAACCACTCAAAGAGCCAAGCAGACTTGGCTGCAGTTAGCTCTCCACTAGGTGAAGGGAGGGGGTAGGCAGAGGCTGGTCAGCGTTGGTCAAGGTCGCCTAGAAGGATCCTTACTTTGTGTGGAAGAGGGACCAGGATTCTTCCCAGATTCTTCCAGAATCTGATAGTCAATGTCTAATATTCAAAGTAGGTGATATAAAAACTTGGAAGCCTGGTTCTAAAATTCTGTTACTTTCAGGTGCTGAAATGCTACAATTTCATGATTCTGAGATTTAAACATATTGTGATTCTTAGGTTCTGGAACAGCTCTGTCCCTTAAAAGTGTAATGCAAGCCACACACCAAATGTTAAATTTTATAGCAGCCACATTAAAAAAAATAAAAACAAATAAGTGAACTTAATTTTAGTAATACATTGTATTTACCCCAACATACCCCAAATTAGCATTTTGACATGTAATTAATGTAAAGAAACTATTAATGAGATGTTTAAGTTCTTTCTTTATTACTGTCTTTAAAATTCATTGTTCATTTTATGCTTATAGCACATCTCAATTCCCTCTAGTCACATTTTAAGTGCTCAGTAGCCATGTGCGGCTAGTGGCTACCGTGTTGGACAGCACAGTTTAGGAACCTGAAATCTATGACTCACTTTTCTAAAATTCTAGGATGGTGTGTCCCTGAGATTCTAGAATTCTGCAGCGTACTAAGGTTCTATGATGTTACAACTGTGATTCCACCAGATTAAAATGTTTTCCACAAGTCTGCTCATGGATAAGGCTTCTCCCACATGTCTTTTGCATGGAAAGAAATCCAGGCCCTTGCTGAGCCCCTGGACTACCCCTGCCATCTGGCTGTGGCAGAGGGGGTGGACATGCCCATGAACCCAGGGTGCTGGCCTCTCCACATGAAGCCACTTCGCCCACCATCCCTCCAGGTTGTCATCTTTCCATCCATGTGCACAAGCCTGGAACTGAGCCTCCTGGGGGGAGGGAGTGTGCCTCTGATGCCTGGCTTAGCTGCTGTCCATCCTGGAGAGCATCTGGGGGCTGCTGCAGCAGATGGAGCTGGGAAGTGTGGCTAAAACCTCAGATGGAATCCCCGGAGGGTGAAACTGGCCTCCTTTTGCTCAAGGCTGGAGCCTGGAGGCCTGGAAAGGGCAGATATCAAGAGACCAACCATCTGGCCTGGGGAAAGCCAGAAGGGCTCTCTGAGATCATGTGATATATGCCTTGAATGGTGCAGATGGGGAAACTGAGGGCCAAGAGAGTGGGGTTTCCAACTAGGCATAAGGGGAATGTTGAGCTCAGCTAGAAGATGCTTCCTGATTATCCAGGGGTCTCCTTTTCCTGCTCCCAAGCTTCCTCTGCTACCTCTACCTGTGGGCAAAGTCAGGGCACAAATCTGGCATGGCAGCATGTCAGGGAGGATGTGGGAAGGCCCCACAGGTGTTTTATCTAGATGAGGGACTCCATGGCCAGGTCCAGCCTTGCCGCAGGCCTACAGAAAGAGTCTAGGGGATGGGGGTTTGAGCACAGGCAATAGTCTGGGTGAGGTAGAAGCTTCTGCATCTGCTGCAGAACAGATTCATCTCTGTGTTGCATTTCAAAGTCTTTTGTAGCCACAGTCCCATTTTATTCTGTATAGACAGAAAGGTGGGCAGGAGGACCTGCCATCAGCATATTAATTCCCAGTGCAGATGCCACACAAAGGGCCTGGTGCTGGAGCATTGTTGCTGTTCCACTTCTTACAGGGGAAAAACTGAGGCCCAGAGTGGAGATATGAGCAGTCTCAAGCAACAGAATCAGAGGGAGGCCAGGTCTAGGCCCTGGGGAATCATGGGTTCAGTACCCATCCAGAGAGCCTCCCCACCTTGCTCCACTCCCAGGCACCCAAACACTCTGCAGCCAGGGACACAAACATCAGGTGTCACCTGCAGCCACATTTTCCATGGGCTGCTTCCAGGCTGGATTTCCCCTCTGGGGAAAGCCCCAGGGTTGTTCCGCATAGTCAGGAGAACCAGGGAGGAAATGACAATGGTTCTGCTACAGAGGGCAACAGGAAACAGTCTGACCTTTGACTTCTAGGGAGCGGACTCTGCCAAAGTAGGGTCAGGGAGTGAGTGTTGGGGGCAGCAGAAGGAGGGTAGATCTGGAATACAGATTTGGAAAAGCACAGACTTTATAGTGAGGTGGACCTGGTTGGAGTCCCAGCACTGCTTCTTCATACCTGTGTGATCTTGTGTCCTTGACTTCACCTGGGCTCCCTCATCTGTTAGCTGGCTTCCCCAGTGCACTGGGCATCTGAGGGTACATAAACCAAGCCCATAGTTAGTGTTGAATAAATGTTATTCTCACCCATGGCCTTCCAGCAACCAATCAGTCCTTGGGCAAACCCCCCTCCCCCACATACAATCTGCCACCCTTTGTGCAGTATGCTCTGTAAATATTTATTGAATAAACAAATGAATGAATCATCGTTGCCAGCCAAAAACACAGCAAAGTACAGGGGAAGACTTTGAACTGATCTATCAGGAGATCTGACAGACTGTCACAACTCGTTGGGTGGCTCCATTTTTTAAAGAACATAATAACTAACCTTTCTAAAGCACTCAGCATACCAGACTTTGCTAAGAACCTCAGAGCACTTAGCTCTCCAAGCAGCACTCTGAGAAGGTGTGACTATTGTCCCTATATTCTAGATGGAGAAATTGAGGCACAGAGATGCTACCTAGCCAAGAGGTGACATTGCTCGCTGGCCTAGCTCACGGTCTTCACTCAGGGATGGCTGAGGCCCTCCAGCTCTCCCTGCCAGCTTCCCTTTGCTGGGATTCCTCCGGGACAGGGCATGCCTTTCCCAGACTGGTGCTGGCACTACCCACAGATTCCCATGAGTTTTGGAGGCCCCTACAAGTCAGCTTTTGGGGGTGTATGTGGCAGATGAAGTTGGGGCTCTGCCCACTCCAAGACTGCCATTAGGGCCTTTGTCGGGGACTGATTCTCACAGCCTTCCAGCTGTTTCCTGACCAGAGGGAGGCAGGAAGCAAGGCCATGGGGGATCTTGGTCCCAGCTCCCTTGTCCTCCTTTGGCTCGTCCTCCCCTTTCCCTGCTCCAGCTCCAGGACCTTCCTCTTCCTAGCCCAACTGCAGACCTTGAACTTGAGCTTCACTCCCAGGCAGAGCTTCGAGTGTGAGGGCAGTAACTCTGGGCTGGGAAGTCAGAGACTGGATTCTATGTGCTGCCAGCACCCTAGGGGTGCTTTTCTCTCTGGACTGGCAGATCTGGAGAAAACCTGTCCCCAAATGTCAGAGATGGCAGTTGGGAATGTGCCAACAGTTTACATGGGCATGTCATTTTACCAAGTTCCATGGTGACCAAGTGGGATCATCCTGACCACCCTGTTAGAGACGGGTTAGATTGTTATCACCCTGATTTAACAGAAGAGGAAACCGAGGCCCAGGAGGATTAAAGTCATGATTATGCAGACATTTAGAGGCAGAAACAAATGTTTACCCAAGTCTCCAGAGATTATATGATAGCAAACTGTTACTACTGCAAATATTTACTCAGTTTTGCCTCTGCTAAGAGCTTTCCTCTCATCACTCATTTAATCCTCTCAGTAATTCCCCATTCTCCAGGTGAGGAAACTGAAGCTCAGAGAAGCACATCATTGCCCAAAGTCTGGTTCTTCACATCTGTGAGCCAGAGAGCATCAAAGTCTGGCACCAAAATCTCAGGTCTTACAGGTAAGACAGAGCCACCTCCACCTAGGATGGAGAGGATTCCTGTTCCTCAAAGCTGAGCGTAGGACTGACCTGGCCTCACTCCTGTTCATGGTGCTGCTTTAGACCTGGTGCAAGCAGCTCCTGGGAGCCACCCAGGCAACAGGCCCTGGGAATGTAACAGGTGCTGCAGAACTTTGGGGCATGTTGGGGCCACGTTTGTGTGTGAGCCCCCTACACACAGCAGCAGCCCCTGGTCTAGGCTAATGTGGCCCTATGAACTGCACAGATGAGCTCACATATGTTGCACACAGATTCTTTTTTTCCTTCCTTACTTAATTCATTCTTCAAACACTAGCCAAGCAGCCCTCATATTTCTCCTCATAGACATTCACTTCATTTGCCAGCCTCCCCAACCAGGGATAACTATGTAACTTATGGGGCCCAATGCAAAATGAATATGCAGAACCCATTATTCAACAGTTAAGAATTTCAACACACTGACAGCAGAGCATTCAACCAAGTATAGCGTTCAGTGTGCATGCACAGGGGGCAAGCCCATGAACCAGCCCTGTCCCAGCTCGTCTCTGTGCCATGCCACCTGAACCCTTGTCCCTCTAGCTCTCCTGTCCTGCCACCTAGCCTCCTTTGAAATCCTTGTGCATAACCAGGCTTTCTTCCATCTCAGGGCTTTTACAAAGGCTGTTCTTCCTGCTGTGAGCCCTTTCCCCAATCTTCTCTCAAAACTAGGTCCTTCTCTTCATTCAAGTCTCAGCCTAATGCCACCTCCCCAAGGAGGCCTCCCAGGTTCCCAGTCTACAGTGCCCCCCATCCACACATACACACACAGCTCTGTTCCGACAGCTCTCCATCATATCTGCTGCTTACGCCTTCCTGGTGTGCATCAAGATTTGTGATCTCACATGTACTTGTCAGTTCACTGTTTATTGTCCCTTTTCCCTGCCTTGAAGGTTGGCCCCCAAAGACAGAACCCTTGTCTGTCCTGTTCAGCACTGAATCCCTGAGGTCCAACCCAGTGCTTGGCACATAGTAAGTGCTCAGTAACTTTATAAATCACTGAATGAATGAATGAATGAATGAATGAATGAATGAATGAATGAATGGACACAGACACCCTACCCCCCGGTCTCCTCCCACCCTTCCTCTGAAACCCGCACAAGCACAGGGGTGCTCCCTGAGTATCCTGGTGCCCCAGACATGCCACTACAGAGAGCAGATGAGACCCAGAGGGGCAGGTGGATCCTGAAGCCTTGGAACAAGGGCAGATGGAAGTGGCCAGGCCTGGAGGAAACGGGAAAGAGAAAGCAGCAAGGAGGGAGAGAGGACAGCAAAAGAGGACAGCAGAAAGGAAGAGAGAAGAGGTAGGCAAAGAGGGAAGAACAGGTTGGGCTTGGTGATAATCCCGTTTCTTCTCTTTATTAGCGAAACTAATAATTACTATTAATGCCTGGCCCCTCCTTGACCCTTTCATCCCATTTAGTGGGGAAGTTTTGAAGATGAAAGTCTGGGGTGGGGTGGGAGGGGGCCTCTCAGATGCAGGTTCCAGGGCTTCACAACCACTAATTAAACTTGGCAGCCTTCCAATT